AAAATTATAACTTATAAAAAAAATTTTACCAAACAATTTCAGCTTAATTCTAAAAATTATTATTTTTCATAAGAGCTTCATAATAGCTTTTAAACTAGAAAAAAGCTAAGCTAAACAGGCTCCTAATTGGATTGGATTATTAAAAAAGCTTTATATTTGATGTACTGCCTAGTTTTGATACCTTGCCACTTCACGTAACATTATCTTATTAAAAAAATAAAAATCAAAGTTTTTAAAAATTTGAAAATAAATATAAAAAATTGAATATATAATGAAATAAAAAATATAATGTTTTGTTAATTAGAGTGGCAGTCATGCAATAACTTCAAATTTCTAACTTTGAGTTTTTGCCCACAGAGAAAAAGTAATTTTTTTTGCAGATATTTTTACACATTAACATTTTTTGAACATAAAAAAAAACAAAATGATTTTTTTTAAATAATTAGAGGAAAAGAGATTCGAATCATGCTATTTAGATAAGAGATAATATACTAATCAATGAACCAAATGTTTAGATGTAAAAAAATAACAAAAGGATTACTAATTAATTTCTTAAGTCATCCAAATTAAGATTGGTAAGTGTGATAACTTGTACCATATCAAATCGGATATGTTTGTGATAGTAATGATACGAGTCCAAACAACATTAGTAATATGAATCATTATAATCACATTCACATTTCATATGCATTTAATATGACATGAAGTATCAGAATACGTTAATAATTTCCCATCAAGATTACATATTCATATTTATAGCTTTTATAGCCTTAATCGTTAATCACGTGACAATCCCTATTTATGGTCTTTCAATTAGATTCCTGTCATTTGATTTTGTTCCCAAAGGTCGGTTTGTTTTAACCTTGATTCCAATTCACCCTAATCACGATACTAATTCTACAACCATGTACCAATTTTTCTAGTCCATGAAAATTATACCAATTTATTTTCTTTAAAAAAAAAGTTCTCGAATTTTAGTAAAAAATCTCATCGAGAGAAAGGAAAGAGAAAGTTGTTATCTATATCATTTTTCTCGTTCTCAATTTGTTTGATCCTTGTTGGAAAAGAAAATTGAATAGTATATATTCATGAATACATATCAAATTATGATGACTATGATATGTTGCTACTAACAAATTTAATTTGTTTTTTACGTAAAGTATCTAATTTCGATTCGTTGAAATCGTTCATTAGCAATTATTTGTTATTTTGGACTTATGTGATGTTATTTTATAAAATAAGTATTTTATATCAGATATGTGATTGATAAATTTATATAGATCACATATGTTACTTAATAATACATAAATATTATTATTAATATAATTAACTCATAATTAAAATACCTATAGCTACTGTCCCAAGGATTGGATCATGATTCATGAGGGATTTGAATCTAAACAAAATTCAATGGACAAATAGTTTTCGGATAGATCAGTAGAAAGAATTGGTGGAGAAGTTAGGTTTCCCTTCTTTCATTTCGGCTATATCTCCACGTGCCAATTTTCTAGCAAGTCCATGAAATTATAACTCTTTATTTACTTAAAAAAGAATTCTTAATTTTCAGTGAAAAATCTTATCGAGATGAATGTGAAATTGACACGTTTATGATATAGGGTATTATAATAAATTTAATTTATTTATATTGTTAAATTATGTAATTTAATTATGTTATAAACCATGTGATTGATTAATTTTACATAAATCACACGTGTCATTTAATAATACGTAAATATCGATTTCATGATTCATGAAGGACTTAAATCGAAAACAAGTTAAATTCAATGGACAAATAGTTTTCGGACAGATCAATAGAAATATTGGTGGACAAAGTACGTTTGTCTTCTTTCTTAGGAGTTAGCCATGCAATGACAATCACTCAATAATTTTCTCGAAAATTTTCACATCAAAATGTATTTTTGACGAATTTAATTTTGTTTAAAATTTTTAATGAAATTTCGTTGATAATTCATTTTTTAAAAATAAATTTTAAAAAAAATTTATAAAAAAAGGGGGTTTTCAAGATCCTTTCTTTGTTCAAACTGAATTTAATTTGCCTTGGATTGTAGATAAGAGAACAAAATATAGGGAGTTTTTCAAGCTTCCGATAAAGAAAAATTGGAGAAAATTTGGCACAACCACCACTCTCTTTGCTTATTTTATTCGTTTATTGGGTTTAGGGATTCCCTGGAAACAATGCCAAAGAAATCAATACCAACAGCTTTTCAATTGAATTGTAGAGGGTATAATTCTTAATTTGCCTTGGAAACAATTTGTCAATGCAAATTTGACAGTAAAAATTTGGCATTTTGCTATATTCTTTTGTAGTAGTCTTATGTTAGACTTACAATATTGAGAAACAAAAAATTTATTGGCTAAAAAAAAAAAAAAGCTTTCCTTCTGGCTCTTCAATAGAAAGATTAAATGATCATTTAATCTTTAATTAAATAGACTTAAGTATTTGGATTTATGAACCTTATTGGTTTATAACTCATTAAAAGAAAGTGCAAGTTGTAGCATATGTTCCACCAACATGATTACATATACATATATAGATATAAATTCAAATGAAGTCATCCTTAACAGGATATAGGCTGATGTTTCAGACAGCCATGGTAAGATCATGATCTTTTGTAGGGACTCAGATTGTAGTGTAAACTCCTAGATAGCGATCCTATTACCTGCAATAATGACAAGCACTGCTAACCACGTCATTCTCTACATTACTTAGTTATCTCTTCGCCAACCACATTTCTTTAGAACGTATAATTAATTAAAATACCAAACGTCAGCCATAGTGTATTCGAGTTCAATAAAGCTGTTTCCCTTCATTAGTTCCCAACCACTTTATTATAATAATGAGCCTAGAACATGGCTGGAATTTGTTTTCATTTTTTGTGTTTTTGTTATTCCTATGTCTTAAAATACCAAAGAAAAGGAAAGATTAATATAGTAATATAGACATTCTATGATAGCTGCAGTTTTCAACACAAAACCAAAATGTAATGTCAAGGAATCTCCAAATGAATGTATGCCACCTTTTGTTTTAGGGTCTGGTTGCCCCTTTGCTCAAGGCAACTTGACAACATCAACTTATCCTCAGTGCTTTCTGTCATGCAAAAGCTTTTTGTCAGCCCTGAATTGATATGTAAGCATGATCAAACTCCAGGAAAAAGAAGAGACAATGGGAAAGTAGGTAGATGAAAGGAAGAACTCCTTTTGTTCTCATTATTGTCATTCAAACTGTTACAAACCAGAAATAGATATTACAAGGAGAAAAGAGGCCTTCCAGGATGCCTCTAAAACACTGAATATATATATGAACAGAGAACAGCAACAAAAGCCAATCTGTCCTCACACCTTAAGAAAAACCATTTTTTCCCTTTTCAACCAATTTAGGTGAGACAGGGACATCATATGTACAAAATTGAGTTGAATTTTTCAACCTCACACAGAAAAGAAAAAGCCCAAATTAGCTGTGAGATCAGTTCTTTTTAAAACAAGAAGGAACTGAACATGGTGAAACAGTAGGACCATGCAAAAATTGGACTGAAAATTAAAGAACCCTTCTTGCAAAAATGAAGCTAAGGGGCTTGATGATGCATGGTCTTTGAGTGGTGGAGGAGCATTCAAGGCCTTGTTTTCAGACCGTCTGAATTTATGCATACAAGGATGTTCATTATTCCTAAACTTTCAAGCTTCTAGCTGCAGTGAGTGCCAGTATATATGATATTTAGAGGGAGGAATTTCACATGATTAATTTAAAAGCTGAACGTAGCTTCTTCACAAGATCCTTTACTGCCATGCAGAATTCCATATCCATCTGCGAAAAAAGTGGAGATCGTGTCAAAGTTAGTGAAGAAAAGTACATGAAATAATGACTTCAATTCCACCAGTACTGACTGCAGTAGAATTCAGCAAAGAGGTTTGTAGTTGTAGAAATTAAGTACCTGAGCAACGATAGTTATGTCAAGAGCGGAACTCCCAAATGTCATGACATTGCTGTTGATGATTGTTAGGTGACATTTCTCGAGTTCAGACATGATTTTCTGTGGAAGTCCTTTTCTTTGCTCACAGTGGATTCTTATGAGAACACTTTTGTCACAAAATCTTGCTTCAATTTCTGGTAGTGGCTCATCAAAGGGGCCACTGAAATTCTCATCCGAGGAAAAGTCATCACTGTCGGCGACGAGTTGAGATTTCTTCACAAAAACTACTGATTCGATTGTTTTCTTCCTAGTCTGCTCCTCAAGTGTCTTAACTTTCTCCTGCAGTTGTTTCAGATACTTGATAGCATCTCCAAGCACAGAAGCCTTGTCCATCTGCCAATAGCATTGCAATATAAATTGAATCAGAATTATAACAATAAGAGGACAGAAGAAACAGTGAAGTTATACGCATTCAGGAATACCTTCTTTAAGCCAGGAACTATAGCAGACAGAGCTATGAACCTCTGGCTGAGCTTCTCTCTACGCTTCCTCTCTGCCATGATATGATCTTTTGACTGAGAAATTTTATTGCCTGTGCTAACCCTCTTAGCTCCATGGCAAGCCTTAAGCATATAATTTGGGCTTCCAATTAAGGAATTTTGAGAAATCAAGATATCAGAAGGGAACGACTCCATGCTGTTGGAACATGCTGCCTCTTCTTTAGGCTTCACAATGCCTGTTGGATTCATGCGGTTGGAACTGGCAAAGTAGAAAGTGTTTGGATGAAAAGCAGATTGGAGGTTTGATATATCAGTATCGGGTTTGCATGAATTCCAGCTGTTGGTTTTGTGCTGTTTTACGGGTCTGTCAATGCCAGTGTGAGAAGGTTCAACCGAAGTTTTGGGGTTAAAGGCGGGATAGTTATGATTAGAGAAAGACTGCTGCAAGTTCTCTCCGAACGCAGCTGCTAATGGGAGGATGCTGAGCTCATCCAGAGAGTTCATTTGCCATTGATGGAATAAGTTAGGATCCTCCATTCCCTGTAGATTTGAGATTCAGTGGCTGTAACATGACACTCTTGAATCCTCCATCTTCATGTTTTCTTTGCATGGAATCCGGCAAATGTTGCGGTTCATGCACTATATATGAACAAAAATAAATAAAAAAGAATAAAAAAAGTCTTACCAGTTCTGGTAACTCTCTAATTGATGAAATCTCCATGGAAGAATCCCACTTGCTGACAGACAGAGCCTGTTGAATAGAATCCTGGCAGGAAAATCCACCGAAAGATATGAATTACTAGAATTCCCACCACTAATTAACACACACACATGTTCCAGGATTAAGAACAAAAAGAAGAAAGAAAGAAAGCAGGCTCTCCCCACGTACGGACTGACAGTCTATTATAATAAAACAAATGAGAAGCATACAAGCTGTAGCCTAAATTCTCACCCTGTAATGATAGTCCAAAACTTTCTTGATGTCCAAAAAAACAACCTCCTGTAGAGCAGGAACCGGCCCCAAATTTCTTCCAACTTTTAGAGCTCTCGCCTGTTTTATAGTCGACCACACTACCAGTCTCACGGGGTAGATGACGTTAAAGGCCATTGAAATTTGACACCTAAAAGAAGCTCTCTTGCTTCTGTAGAATAATGACAACATAACAGCATGTATTGTATCTTAGTGGGTTTCTTTTTCCTGACAAAATAAACAACCCCTTTTTCTTTTGTTGTTTTGCAGACTTTTCATGAGCTTTGCCAACCAGTCGTTGAAAATTGATTCAATGTTTACAAATGAAAATGCCAGTGATCCATAGAAAACCGTGGTCCCATTACAATGTATTAATCATCCAAGCCAACTCCATTAATTACTAATATTTTTACGCGGATGAAGAGAATATGCTGATAAGCCAACGCCCATATGAGTAAGAATTCTTAACCAAGAACAGTTGAAGTGCATGTGATTGAATATGTGTATAATTATGATTGGCCCCAGGAATTGAAAGATAATGACTGGTTTTTTTCTTCCAACTTTCTGTTGACTTCCCTGTGCTTTCAGCGAATGGGAGAATGCTAGCTGTCCAAGAATGCTGCACTAGACCACACCAATAAAGCCACTGCCGGTGGCAATGTGGCCTGTCAAACCGACCCGATGAAGATGTCGGCTAATGCTCAAAACTCAACAACGGCCCATTATGAGAAAATCAAGCTTCAAAATTTGCAGCCACAATCTATGATTACATCGCTACATGTTTACATGATAACAGAAATCATGGGAGGAAAAGATGTACTTGAGCCTTGGTTTGCTTTCCAAATGAACTCAATCGGATTCAAAACAAAACCCAGTTGGGGCCGTTTTTCTTTATAAATAGGTTGTTAAACCAATGTCGTTGGTAGTACTGGAGCCAGCCTGTTAACCCAATGTCTCAAATACCTAATAGAAGTAGGGAAGCATTTCTCAAAAAATACTATCATAATTGGTAAAATCTGACCACATCCAAGAATCTGACTAAATTCGTCTAAAACCCAATCCGATTATGTAATCCCATGAACCCGAATTGATTTGAAATGAGTTAATCTAAACCTGAAATGATTTGGAATGGGAAATGATTAAAACTAAAATTTAAAATAATTTAAAATTTGAAATGACGTGACATAAATGTTAAATAATAAAAAATTTAAAAAATTATATAATGGAACAAAAAGTATTTAACTCTTTAAGAAATAAATGTATAAAGACAAATGAAAGAGAGATAATTAATTTTTATTATACAATGATTGAACTTCATATAAATGAAGATATTTGTACAGTTTTATATTTTGTCTTACCTATACATATATATATATAAATATATTACGATTTATAAATTTTTTTAGTTTTATCTCATTATTTGAATAACGAATTAAATTTTGAGATTAATTCTTATTGTTTAAAATTTATTTGATTAATCATTTATTTGTAGTTTATTGTTAAATGTAAGTTTCTTTCTTTAAGTAAAAGAATTGATGTTATGCATAAAGAACAAGAATATTAGATCCTTTGTAACCAAAATGATTCGAGATTCAAAATGATTTAATATATGAGGTAATCCGAACTTGACTTGGTTAATTTAAAATAACCCAAAACCTATAATAATTTCATAATTAATGTCAAATTGACTTAATTCGAAACAATAAATGATTAGATACAGTTCTCAATTTAAAATGATCTCAATTCGAAGTGAGTCTTACTATCATCTACGGAAAAGGGTAAAAAAGAAGCTTGTGATTATGGATTACAGAACTTGCCCTTTGGCATTGATTATTGAGTTTTGGAGCTTTGTGTTAACCTGGCAATGTCCCTGTGGCAAAGTCAAGAATAAAGAGATTTGCTGCCCACTTGCTCAATTCTTTAGTATTATCTTTGGTATGCTTGAGCCCCCATTTCTTTCTCCTTTATAGTGAATAATAACTGTTCAATTAGGAACTTCATAACCTCAAATTTTTTAGATTGTTATTGTTTAAATAAGATGTTATTCAATCATTTTAAGGATGTAAAACGTTATCGCATAATATTTTAAAAAATTACTGAACTATTTAAAAAATTAAAATAAGTTTTTATTTTTTATTATATTTATATATTTTTATTTTAAATCAAATAGATTTTTATAATTAAGGGTAAACTAATTATTATTTTTATATCTACATGAAATTAATGTGTAAAATGAAAATGTCACAATATAAAATCATAATGTCATACAAGCATGTCACATCATCATTCAACATGACATGTTAACACCAAATAACATAACATGATAAATATTTGATTAAAAATAATTAATCTATCGTTAATTATAAAAACTTACTTGATTCAAAATTAAAATAAAATAATTTAGAGACATATGTAGTTATTATGCCAATATTATTCAACCATACAAACAAAAAGCAATGCATGCATGAGCTAGAATACTCTTTTATGTGAGGAAGTTGCTTTCCTGTTTCAGATAATCATATGGTAATATATTTTCCTTGTTGAATTCAGGAATACAGATTCACTCTTCACACCAAAGAAAAAGGAAAGCAAAGGACGAAGCACAAACTGGAATTCATCAGCTTAGCCCCGTGAGCGAATGAAACTTCCTGGAAGAAACCTCCCATGGCATTTTCTTAATGGTGAAGTTGTTGGATGGAGCAAGACAAAAATTGCTTTATTTTGCTTTATCCCAATGTTTGTTGCTTGGACAGAAGAAAAATCCCATTTCCTATCAGGTAAAATTGATGAGGAAAAAGCAAAGGAGAGGGGGCAGAGGAAGGGGCTCACTTTCCCCTTTTGTATATATTTTATCTTATCCAAAATTAACTATTGCTTTATTTTTTCATACTTTAACATCATTGTTTAATAAATTTTAATTATGTATCTTATAGTTTTAATTTTTCCCACCTGATTTTATATTTTTTTATAAATTAATATTTTATGAATAATTTCTATTTTTAAAAAATATATCTACATCAGTCTAATTGCAAAAAAAAAAAATACAAAATATCATATGAAAAAAATTGAAATCGGAACGAGAATTAGATCAACTTTGGATTTTAATCATCAAATTTATTTTTTGTTTTTCTTTAAAAAAAACAAGGTCCATATTAAATCGGAAGTGAGGATACAAAAGAATACCATTTACTGCCAAAAATTTAAAAATAAATTTGGAAATAGAAAAAAATATTTTTTAAAAAAAACTTGAAAAAATTGTAAATTTGACTTTAATTAAAAATCTAAGAAATAATTTTACTTCCAATTTGCAAGGATTATAATATATACTATTAATTAATATTGCTTTTTATTTTGTACTATATTTTCTTATTTCTATAGAAAATAAAATAAACTAAAAAAAACAGAAAGCCAATGTCGGCCGCACGTGCAACTGTTCCCACATTTCCAGTTTTAGCAGTCAAATTCCTTCCACTCCTACTCTCTAGTTTTGTGGGTACAACTTTCCCGGGAAAATCTTTTCTTATCTTTCTCGATTCTCAGAACCCTAGCACAAACTCAATTCATGGCCGTTCCTAAACTAGAATTGAGACCCCTCGGAAACACGGGCCTTAAACTCAGCAGCGTGGGTTTCGGAGCTTCCCCTCTCGGCAGCGTGTTCGGTCCCGTCTCCGAGAGCGACGCCGTCGCTTCGGTCCGCGAAGCCTTCCGCCTCGGCATCAATTTCTTCGACACCTCCCCGTAATGCCAAATTTCTTCACTTTATAAAATTGGGTTTTTTCAAAAGTTCCTCCTTTTTTTTTGGGGTAATTTTTGATAAATTTTATTTATATATATTTTTAAAATATTTGAAGGTATTATGGAGGGACGTTGTCTGAGAAGATGCTTGGTAAGGGACTCAAAGCTCTAGGGGTCCCTAGAAATGAGTACATAGTTTCAACAAAATGTGGGAGATATCGTGAAGGTTTTGATTTCAGTGCTGAGAGAGTAACTAAAAGCATTGTTGAAAGCTTGGAGAGGTTGCAACTTGATTATGTTGATATACTCCAATGCCATGACATCGAATTCGGCTCTCTTGATCAGGTCCTTGATTAAGTAATCATTTCTCGTTTTAATGATATCTGGATTTAAGCTGGTGATGTGTTAGGAAAGAGTCTGTCTTGTTGTAAATGTGATATGAAAGCTTGGGTTAATTTAATTTAGTTTGTATGCGGTAACAGGTTGTGAATGAGACAATTCCAGCTCTTCAGAAACTGAAGGAAGCAGGGAAAATTCGATTCATTGGCATTACGGGGTTGCCGTTGGAAATATTTACTTATGTGCTTGATAGGGTTCCACCAGGCACGGTTGATGTGATTTTGTCATATTGCCATTACAGCATTAATGATTCAACATTGGAGGATTTACTGCCTTACTTGAAGAACAAAGGTGTTGGTGTAATCAGTGCATCTCCACTTGCCATGGGGCTTCTTACTGAGCTTGGTCCACCGGATTGGCATCCAGCTTCACCTGAACTCAAGGTGAGACTTTTAGGCCTCAGATAAGATGGAGTGACTGCACTACTGCTGAATATAGCAATCTGGTCTGTCTGGCTATATGGTATCTGAAAAATGAATTGCCTTCCAATCTCTTGGATCTAATTGATGTGTATGAAGGCCTTTAACCTGAAGAAGTTTATTTAGTAAGGACAAATCTTTAGTACCTACTGTAAACTCTGTTGAAAGGATTTAGGGTAGTGATAATTCTTGTTATAAAAATGGATTTGACATATAATGTTCAAATGTCTATCAAATAATGCATCAATTTGAACCCTTTCCTTGAAGTATCTGATATTAGTGCAAGAAAGAGATGCCAAGGTCCAAGATGATGTGCACCAGGCTTTTTCATGTCAGACAAGATCATTATTTTCTGACCTCTAGATTTGTTCGTTTGAAATAACTGGACTAAGATTTTGATGGACCATATATTATGGTGTATAAAAAGTTGCAGCACAAATCTTCTGCCTGTTTGAACTTATAAGTTGTAAAACTTGGAGTCATGATTTGCAGGACTGCATCTTAAGAAGGAGATTATATCTGGCTTCGTCTTCTGTTTGCTCTAGCTACAATGCAGTTCATTATCACCAGAACTCACATTATCTATTTAATTAGTCATTTCCAAAGTTCATGTGCTTGAATATAAATACTATATATCTTCATAAGTTTGAGTATTCAATGCTGTGAGATTTGTTTTTTCCTTCAGTCTGGCTGTCAAGCTGCTGCAGTGTATTGTAAAGAGAAAGGGAAGAATATTTCAAAGTTAGCTATGCAGTACAGCTTGTCCAATAAGGATATTTCGTCGGTGCTGGTTGGCATGAACTCAGTTAAGCAGGTTCTTGTTCCATCATTTGACTTAGTGCTCACGTTTTCTCTTATATTCAACCATTACAGCTTTCTGAAATCTGTTATTTTGCCTGAGAATAGAATCTTCTTACTCAATCATTTAGCAAAACGTTATGGATAAATTCCAGCTGCTTCATACCTGTCAAAACACAACAACATTTTCTCCCGATCATGCTGCTTTAGCTGTTAGTAACTTATACCTTGTCAAGAATCAGGTTGAAGAGAATGTGGCTGCTGCTACAGAACTCGCACTTTTTGGGAAAGATCTGGAAACTCTATCTGAGATTGAAGCAATCCTGAAACCCGTGAAGAATCAGACATGGCCAAGTGGAATTCAAAGGAGCTGACTGGTATCCACCTGTATTTTTTTGTTTTTGTATGCATGTTACCCCCCACATTAGTTATTAATTCACAGTTTGTGAGTTCCTCATAGGAGTGGGGGCAACCATTCTATTGTCATGTTACTACTATTCAGATGACAAACAATTTCCGTCTCCATTGCCCATGGGGATGCTACTTCCTACTCACCGTCTCAAGAGCATGGTGGAAAATAAATTATAAATGCAGTGTTTTAACTATTTTTGCCCCTTTCGGCCCGAAATTCTTCAGTTTGTTTTGGTTATAAGCGTTGTATGTTAGGTCCTACACTCCAATTGTATCTTAAGCCTGTGAAGTCATTGTCTTATATCGCCGTTGCCCACCGTCCGGCGAAGCCTTCCACCTCCGTAGCAACTTCTTCAACCACCTCTCTATACCTCGTATCGACTCGTATTAATCACATGGAATCCCAAATTCCTATTAACAAGTTGGTAATTCAAAGTTCTGACAGTTACTTATATCTGAATGAATATATAATTTCGACAAAATGTGAAGTGGTAAAACTATTTAAGAAGTTCCTGTAACACTAGACGTAGGAAATTCTAACCAATTAAAATAATTCTCCTTATCCATGAATAAGTTGGTAACTGAAAATAATTTGATCTTTAGTGCCCCAAATTCATTACTTGAAGTCATGAGAATAATAGGACTTGTATAATTTAGATAATTAAGGAGACTGATCGGTCCATTATTACTTTGATAAAAGGCTATTACAAATGAATAAGAAGCAATTAGAAGTAACACTATGGCTTACTTTCATCTTTTTAATTTGTGTATATTTTGAAAGCTTATTTGGATTATGATTTTATTTAATTTAAATTACTAATACTGATTAATTTTTAAACTGATATGGGGAAGGAGTAGGCTCTAATCCAATGCAAATAGGTGCATTGGTCTAAGACCACGTGACGCCTTATGGATGGCAACAAAAAAAAATGAGAAAACAAAATGCAACTAGCAGGATTCGAACCTGCATTAAGAAGGTCATTAAGATTTTAAAAAAAAAAATCCTTCAACCACTACACCAAGGATTCTCAAAAGCTTTATATCTTTTTTTTTTTTTTTTTTTTTACTTCAGTTATTTTTTGAGTTTTAAGGCTTAGTTAAGCTGTCTTTTTAAAGTTTAAAGCTGTAGGAAGTTAAGCTTAAGTTCCTGCATGTGACACGATGCTCTTAATTGCAATTATTGATTTATATTATTTTATTTTTAAAAAAGTTATTTTAAATGTATTATTTTAATTTTTTTTATATTCTCTCTATTTTATTGTATTCATTTTTTTAGATAAACCCAACTCATTGAAGACTTTTTGGGCAAAATGGTGAGCCACCACATTTTAGATCTTGATAAGGCATAAACTCACATGGATTGTTGGAAAGGACCTTGAAACTTGAGATCGTCTAGCATCAAGCACAGCAAGCTAGACAAAGACAACTGATTGAAGATTCTTACAACTCTCGAACAAGGTTATAACGAATTAGCTTTCTGACCAAATACAATAACCAAGCCAACCCAAAAAAATGGAAGTTCAATTTTAAAGTGAATTATGCGTGTAAATTTGATACAAGCTCCAATGGAACAACCATCTTACAAGAAAAGAAAAGGTTCAATGTAGGTCTGACTTTAAAGTCACAATTCATACTGCTAATGCATTGTACACTAAACAAGCCCACACAATTATTTCGATATTTTTATTTTTATTTTTTGCAAGCCTATCATGCCATCACCACTCTAGCTACTCACATTACTTTGTCGTTGCAACCACCGTTTCCATCATTTTTCTCAATTTTAATTGATTACTCTCATGTCTGCTATCACTTTATATTCCTAGCTTGTTACCTGACAATTTATATAACTATTTCTCATTTGACGCTCATTTACTCTTGCTTTTCACTTCTAAAACTGTTAAGAAGCTTCATCCAGTACTAATTACATGCACGTTGACTACCTTCAACAAGAAAGCATTTCGACTTCCAAGTCAAAGCCTGTGGACTTAAAAATAAATCTTTCCACTACGTACGTAGTTCAAATAAATCCCTGGTGAGTGTCGAGAATGTGAATTAATCTAAAATCTAAGTTTTTCATCAATAACTCGATATGTTTTTAATTATAGTATTAAAGGAACGTGTAAAAATTCTTCAAAATAAATATTTTTGAACTTATTGGCCACTATGTTTCAGAGTTTTCAATTTTTAAATTTATTTATTAAAGAGATAACAATATCTTGTTCATTGATAATATATAAGCTATACACTAACAATACTGTCATCGAATATAATTAAAAAAAAATAAGATTTAATAGTGAAATTATCTTTGTTTTGATCCAAATAGAGAGCACAATTACATGTCAATGTCTTTTGAGCTATATGAACCATGTGTATATGTACTAACACATCAAGAATCATGTGAACTAAGACCTCAAATAGAAAGGTGAAAAATGTTGCTTCTAACAATCCTTTTTGGCATATCCATCAATTAGTACAAACAATTTTTTTTTTTTTTTTTGAAAAGTGATTTTTATTGATCACGACTTTAATGCCATTTCGAGTCTTAAGAGTTGCAAAAGACTCGTTGTGGCAGTAAAGCTGTAAATTTAACAACAATAGTCTGCTACTCAAGAGAATGGTAGCATTACCAAAACCAGAACCTAAAGTTGCTCTACACTGTACAACAAAGAGCATGAGGCTCATAATGGTAACAAAAGACTAGCTACATACAGCGACCCTACCACGTTGAACAGAAACAGAAGACTTCAAGGGGAAGCAACCTCAGCTAACCGGGAAATACTGGATGTGTACAAACTATTAATACATATTAATTCAATGTCCATCAACCCGTACAAACTATTAATACTTTATGTACTTATTCCTTAGCAACAAAGCAAATATTGAATCAGTGGGCTTTAACTTCTCTTAAAGAACTACTTTAAACCATATAATAGAAGAAAAGTTTAAAACCATAAGTAGAGATTATAGAGAAAGCAAGGAGGAGGTGGTATAATAATTAACAAACAACAACTGTCCAAGACAGGAGAAACCAGATTAATTAAAATCTCACCCAGCAGATCGTGAGGAAGTTTATAACTTTTGTTCATGCATCACCCAGTGCTTGCCTTTCTTCCTTCTCCTTAGCGACAATTTGACTGCAAAATGAAAAAAGAAAATACCTGGTCAATTGAGGAAATTAAAGGATATCATCATAATCAACTTTGCAACCACATCCAAAAAGAGCTTAATGAACAAGTTACAAACAAGTTTATTCAATAATGTTCCTTTGTCATTGTATATATTTTGCAAATTAAAAAAAGCTTAATGAGCCGAAACAAGATTTAATTATTATTTGCTCTTTATCGAAGCAAATAACAAAAGCTTAGCAGAAACAATATCCAATTATTTGCTTAATATCGAAGAGCCTAACGTAAACAATATCTAATTATTTGCTCAATATGAAAACAAATAACAAATGCTTAAAGGAAACAATATCTAATTATTTGCTAAATGTCAAGGCAAATAGAGTTGGGAATATCATATACCAGCTTTTCTCTCTCTTTTGTTAAAGCACATATAACTTTGGTTAAATTTGAAACTTTACGCTTTGACAAGCACAACATGAAAATTGAAATTCAAGGATGATCATTGGACAACAACAAGAATCAATAAGTTCAAACATAAAAGGAATTTCTTCCTCTTTTTGTTTTTTCTTTTAGGTACATCGAAAGCAATTCTAAACAAACACTCAGAATAAATACTTTACTAAAGAAGCATTAATGGCAGAAAACATTTGAATTAACACAAAACTATAGCAATGCATACCAAATATATATATAAGATTCTTTGATTCAAGGACTAATTATTTATCAGCTTTATTACTTTTTTCCAACAAACATAAAGCATATCACGTGATAACTTGTTTCCTCCATTAGTTATCCTTTTTTCCTTCTGTGATTGTCCTTTTTTTTAATTTTTTTCCCGAATTAATCATTTTTTTCTCTTTTTTATCTTTGCCATTCAAATTGGGAGGAAATTCTTGCAGAGGCTTGATCATTCAAAGGAAAGCAAAAAAGAAAGGTACCCAAGCAACTGAGTAAGGTTGGCAGCGGTGGCAAAGTCGCTCTCTTCCCTTGCCTTCAATATTCTGAACATGAGAACTAATTTCATCTGAGTTCTAGCACTTTGTTGGATTATGAAGTTGGTTTCTTTCTTCAACTGCTCGCACTCAGATTCAATTGCTTCAAATTTTTCACGAACTTGTCTCTGCCCTTCTCGAATACCCTTCTGTTCCTCGCTGATCCCTTCCATCTCTGCTTTCAATCTCTTAAACCTTTCCTGCATGCCCTTCATCCCATTCTTTTTCTGTCCAAATCCAATCAAAAATTAATTAGTTAATATTCAAGTAAACCAATATGAACAACACTTTACTAACAAATACTCTGAAATGATGGACAAGTGTCATTAACGGTGCATGTCGATTGCATCAGAACTATCGATGGGAATTAGAGAGGATTCCATCAAGCACAAATTTTGTTTACAAGGACAAAACAAAGATTGCAAGAAGTGGACGATCATATCTATTACCGTTTTTGTTTGCGATTTCAAGCGTTTCTTGGTGATCGGCATGTTGTGATTCTTGTGAAGACGACCTCGCATGGAGAAAGGAGCCATCACTATAACGCTCTCTGCCCCAAGTTATATAGGATGATTGTTAAGGAACACCATGGAAGTTGCTTTGAAGATATATCATGTAAAAGCTTACCTATTTTTATGATTATCCATAAAGAATTCATACAACGTGGAGCTCGACTGTGAATTCGGATATTATACGTGGAAGTCTATATAACCCATTTTTGCAAGTCATAATTAAGATTCTACTTACTCTACAAGTCATTATATAAAAATCGAAAAACCTCTCGAAAAGCTTTCACATTCGCAAGATTGAAAGGACATCGAACGATATTCTAAGTCTCAATTATTAATTTATTTTTTTATTTTACAAAAAAAATTAAAACACATTTATTTTTATTTTTTTTATATTTCTCAATGTTTGTTATATTCTTTTCTATTAATTTTTTTATCAGAAAAATTTAACTTTAATAAATTTTATCACAATTATAACATATTTAGCATTTTAATTTTATATAATATTTTTAAAAATTTATCAAAATTAAATTAATTTAACTAATAAAAACAATTAAAATGAAGTAAAAAAAAGATAAATTTTATTTTTTAAAACAAAAAACATATTTATATATTTAAAAAAATAAAAAGATAACAAAAAGAAAAGTTGAGCTTATTTATTTAATTGTTGAGAAATCAATATCAATTACTGTATACAGTAATTGAAAATTGAAACGCAAGAGCTCTTTAATATCGAGATCATTGTATCTTTGCATGCGCAATGACAAGTGTTGGGTCGGAGCAGGGACGGGTCAGCATCCTTGGTAAGGTGTAAACATCACTGTCCATGGCTGCATTGTTAGTTCACTTGCAATGGACCTTCAAAAAGCATAGCATAACTTTAGACCTTATATCATTCTAGTAAAGAAATATATCAAAATAACCAAATTTATATTAGATTTGTTCACGATTTGAATATATGTTTTTGATTGGTTTGTGATACATTAAATAATTATATTTATTTGATTTTAATTTTATAATATATTTAAAAATTAAATGGATCAAAATCGTTCTAAATTTTAAAAGTTAAAATTTGATTCTATCTATAAATATTTTTAATTATTTTTAATATAAATGTTCACTGAATGGTTCCTCATTAGATACTTTCAAGTGAAATTTTTTTTTATTAGTTTAATTACTTGAACTATGGTAATTCTTTGAACTGTTTAATTAATACTATGAATTTGGTTTGAAAAAAAAATTATTGAAAATTTCAATTCTTAAATTCTATAACAAAAGCAATTTTATATTCTAACTTGTTGTGCAATGCAAGCTTGAAATTATCATCAACTTAAAATTGTCCAGATGTCCAGAAGCTTGTTGATTCTTGAAAGTGCTAAGCAATTGCTTGAAAACATATGAGAATCCACTTCGAACGGAATAAATTTCATTTTTAATTAAACCTAATATTTTATTTTAGGTTGAATGTGAATATGATTATTGAAATTTATATAAAAATTTTAAAATTAATTAATATTAAATTATGCAATTTAGACTCGAAAAATTATTCAGTCAATAAGGTTTCGATTCCTAGATGGGGGCACAAGCCATCGTCGAAGCATTTGGCTCATAGAAAGCAAAGGAATATGAAAAAAATAAAGAGGTGTTCATCGTGATGGGGATAAAGGCAGATTCTTAAAGTAGATGCTTAATAAAGTTTCAACCAATATTCATAGCGACTTTAAGCTAGCCAACCAGAATAGAATCAATGGCTTCGGCCACCAAAACATCATATAGATTTATCACAACTTGCTCTTTGGTAAACCAGTTGGTACAGCCCTTGACCTTATCTCCTCTCTTCTAGACAGTTGTTTCACAGCATCTTTGGAGAGCAAACGGGGTGTGCTCAGCCATTGTCCTCCATCAACCACCAAAACCGTTCCATTGACGAATTTTCCTTCAAGCATTACAAAGATGCAGTGTTTTGTGTAAGTAAACAACTGGAAGGAAACCAAGACAAACTGAGATAACCAGATAAAAGTAAAAAGAGCAGAATGTTGATGCAGAAAATGAAGAGTTCGATAATATTTCAAAGGTTATGAATTGTCTTCACATGGTAAAGGTTGAAAGTTTATTGCACAAGGACAGGAAAATAAATCACCAGAGAAGCTTACTGTTTGGCACAACATATTTGGCCCAAAAATTCAATCCAAAACAGTAACATAAGGCAGATGGTGGTCAGAAATTTCTTAACTAGCCTATCTGACTTTCACAAAAAATTTGTCAAGCAAGCATGGTGCACTTATTAACATCAACATTATCCAGTGATTATGATATTATCAGTAGCAAGAGAGACCAAGCATAGAATAACATTCTTCCTCCACTAGTTTTTCCCGCTTAGCATCTCCTACCAAATCCACTCACAAGCAATGTCCATACCAATAATTAATTAAGCAACTAGGCTACCATAATATGTGAGGTTATTTCAGGATGAGGTTTCACGGGAAATTTAAGCTTAAACCACAAATAGAGGGAATGGAGGAAATGGAAGAGTACCACCGGGATGGATGGCAATTAACTCAGAGATTAGAATGTTCCCCATAGAGTCAGACTTCATAAACTATCTATCAAGAAATCCAGATCATCCAATGACTGGATACAAGATCTTGAGCCAGGTTTTCCTAAGGCATCAAGTATCACTGCATATGACATTGGAATTCAGATCCCAGAAGCTCCAAAATTGGGTTTATCTCATCAGTGCCTCCAATACAGTATTAGCAAATAATATACATATTGGCGATATTCACAAACCGACTTCCCGCATACAATGAAAACCTGCTTTTCCCTATAAAAATCCATTGCTAGCCAAATGCTGCTTCTATTAAGCTCATAGGTCTAAAAGAGTTTAAACAGGAAGAGACTAATGTATTTTAGGTCTCCTAAGATTGCATAGAAAAAGAGTTCAAGTAAACAGGAATGCTAACCTGGTGCAGTAGAATGGTGGTCATATAACTAAATAACCAGACAAAACTACAAACCTGCATCAGATGCAAGATAGAGAGCCGCCATAGCAATATCCCATTTCTCACCAAATTTGTACAATGGTTTCTCTTTAATCTTGCTCAGCATCTCCTCAGGTGCAAGTTTAGTGACACCGGCAGTGTCATCGATAGCCCCTGGTGCAATCCCATTGACTCGAATGTCATGATCTGTCCCCCACTCCAACGCCAAGCTTCTGGTAATGCTATCAATAGCTGCCTGGAAGAAACAGAGCATATGGAAACTGAATTCCATTCAAAAGAATTACAAGTAAAGATTTAACAAACTTGACAGCAAATTTACTAACCTTGGCAGCAGACGCATGAATTTGGTACCATGTTGCTCCATAATGCAACATTGCACTTATGTTTATTATTGCTCCACCAGTGGATGGGTCCTTCCCGGGTCCCCCTTTCTTAAGATACTTAAGTGCCTTATGGCACATTCCAAAAGTGCCAACAGTATCTATATCAATTACTGCAAAAGCCAATAAAAAGAACTAAAGAATTAATTTACCTCTAAATGCCTTCTTGCCTTTCTTAAAAAAAATGCCTTCTTTGGACAAGAAAAACATACAATTTGAGTACAAGTTATATTTACTTTATGTGATTTGAACACTTTTGCACAGTTCAGTTTTATTTATTCTAGGACTGACTTGAGAAACTCAGCAGTACCTCCAATGCAAGAGTAGCCATTAAATTACAAATAGGCAGCAATTCTGTATGACCTATTTTTTCCGAAAACTGCAAATGTCTTCACAGTTCATCAGCATTGTCTATGAGTTGAACATCAAATCTTTACCAAATGCAGACTCTGGACACAGTATCTTAATGTTTTGAAGGAATCAAATAAAAAATTTAAGGAAAGAACCTTCAGCGATTATAAATTTATGCACAACCTGTTTGAAAGCCTTTGGGAGATAAATACTCGGCAGGCACAAGGAAATTTCCAGCTGCAGCATTCACAAGGATGTCAAGCCTGCCAAAATGCTTAAAAGTTGATTCCACAACTCTAGCTGCATCATCCTCTTTTCTAACATCTCCCTCAAGCCCAATAGCCTGCAATAAGAACAGTTTAAGAAGAACATTTTTAATATTCAATTAGAACGTGATCCTTATTTACAGAACCTTGCTTTACTGCCATCTATTACAAAACTTTCCAGGGATCAGCTCCAAAGATTTTGGGGAACCTATTTGACAGCAAAAGTTCATGTTTCACATTTCCAACAGCAAACATCCAGGACAACAAGTAATAACAAAGACACACTGAGAAGCTATAGATAAAAATTACAAGGAAGAGGGAAGAGGTAAAAGGAAAATTACAGGGATGCCTTGGGAATGAAGAGCAGCAACAGCAGAGTCAATAACATGTTTGCGTCGCCCCATGATCGCAATAGAGGCGCCATGTTTCCCAAGTTGCAATGAAATCTCGTATCCAATTCCTGAGCCGCCTCCTGTCAGCAAAGCTACTTTGCCTTTTACTATATCTGCTTTGAATGGTGACTCCATTTACACTCCGATGACTTTCTTTCTGTTCTTTCTCTGAGTTCTTTGATCCTGACTTCCGAGTTACTACCCAGCTCTAAAAGCAGAAAATCCAAAACTTAAAACATTAAAAGAATCAGCGAGTGTTCGATGATGTAAACAAGGAAAAAGGTTGTCGTGGGCCGGCGGCATTTACGCTAGACATTAAACTTCGAACAACCCAAAGGTCTTAGAGCCTACTGCCGAATTGGCCCGAAAGCTATGCGGCTACTTATATTGGGCAGACCAAATTTCCACAAAACCCAACACTTTAATCCTGGTTGATTTTGATATCCTTCCCCCCCAGGCCTAGCCTAAAACCTTAGCAGGGGTCTAGGGAGGGGTCGGTTATAGGTAGATAGCATCGGCCAGTGTCATTGAATGCCGGCTTTCCACAATCACCCGTCCAATTCTCTCATCCTCTTGTTGACTTTGTTCCCACCACATGTGTCACCCGGATGAGATCTAAATTTCTTATATGATGGCGATTTGTGTTTGATCGATCCAGCATCATCCACGTTTCCCACATTTGTACTACTATTAGATTTGGTCTTAACCAAACTCAATTGAAGCATATGTCCCCATTAATCAAAATTTTTATTGACTGCACCTGGAAAAAAGGAAAGAGGTAGAAAACCATTCTACTCATTTACCCGAGATGAGATTCTGAATACAATTTGCTAGCTGTTTATGAAGTGAGTTAAGAATGGCAGCAGATGAAATTGAAAAGCAAAACCATGGAAGTAAAAGTAAATTTGGATTCGACTTGATGGGGGTCTAGAATTGGATTTGCTCGATCTAATACATTGATTGCTGCACGTTTCTCACGTATAGAAAATTCCAATTTGTTTGGTCTGAATTCAATATCGACTTTAACGTCAGACGACCAAATCATGTCCAGCCTAGGAGGGATGTTTTGGGACACGTAACTTTTCCCTGTTTGAAAAATCAAATGGAATGCCCAACATATTGCGATGGGAATGGTAATTATTTATTTTTTGGAAGACCCGAAGCCCAGAAAAACATGGATTATAAATTGTAGTCTCAGGCTCATGGCCATCCCATTCTGCAGAGCAGTGGAACCATGGTCCTTTCATCCATTTTAAGTTAATGATGAAACCCCATACACATGGATTCAATATGCGGATACAAGCAACAAATGAAGGGTTTTCTTTCATATGCCTACTTTCCTTTTATAACCAAGCTTCAAAACCTGAGTTTTGGTTCGACATGCATATTCTGTGTTACACTCTCACCAAACCCTCATGCTTCTTCCAGATATAATGAATTTTAATTTATCACAAAAAGGAAAGGACAGGCTGTGACATTGTCCATAAATGAGACTTCTAGCAGCAACTGTATACCAACTGCCAAAGGCAAAGGTGGGCAATGGCGAATTATTGTTCCTCCACCCATCATGGAAATTCGGTCTCTCATTTTCAACTTTGAAATGAAGATGATCCCAAGCCGAAGCACGAAAGGCCCCCTCTCCATCCCTTTGTTTGGATGATAACTCAATATGGAGTGCATTATGAAAATATCAGAGAAAAAGGCTAAACAACCTTTTGCCTAAAAATTGTGTAAGTACTAGTAGAGACATGCAGACATGAGAGAGGATGAAGGAAGAGACCAGACAAACAGTTAATCTTGTCTTTTAAGGCAGTAATGAGACTAATTACAAACAAATAAATAAAGGCAGTACTGCTAAATTTTATCCCCTTAGTATTAAATATGTAGAAAGACTTGTGTCATTATACATATACATTGTGAAACATGAGAGATTTAGATTTTATCTTTTCTCAAAATAAATAAATTTAGTAAATAATCATTCATATACGTTCATATATACTCTTAATATATTCAACGAACCATATTTATTTATTTATCTATCTATCTATAATCCGATAAAATATTCAAATTTGGAGTTAGATGAGGTATTGTTGTTGGGCTCGATGTATTAGACATAAATTCTTTTGAGCAAGAACCCACCATTCTGCTTAAATTCTAATGTTAGTTTCTTGGCCGAGAGGCAGGTGAGTGAGCCGAGTTTGACAAAAAATTCAAGTGTAGGTTGTCAAGATAAGGGAGTTGAAATATTCATTGCTGAAAGATCAAGGTGACCATATTCATATGGAACAAAAAGAGCTCAGTAGGGCTCGTACAGAGAGAGAGATTGCCTGAAATATAATTTAAGGACAGGAGCTGAAAGGGTTCCAGGCTTTTTCTGCTTGATTTGAACATATGTAGTGGTGGCCGCAGGCCAGCCTAATAGTGCTAAAGAGTTAGTATGTGATGAGTGGTGGAGAGAAATAAGCGTAGTCCGGCCTGTGCTTGGGCACGAACAGGACCACCAGAAGAGAGAATCAGGTTTAGCCAGGCTATTCTCTGGTGGTCCGGTCGTTTTCCATCTACCAGTCCGAATTAACCATACACCACAGTACAAAGGGTGTGTGGACATCAAAGATAATTGTGGGCAATGAGCATTACAACATTCTTCTAATTTAAACTTCTTAGTTTGGGGAGATCAATGAATTAAAAGAGATATATATATATATATATATATATAT